ACCTTCGTGATGTTAATTTGGCCGTAAAAGGTTCGATCTGCAACGCGTCGGTGAGAGCAGTTTTGCTCTATGCTTGTGAAACCTGGTCTCTCCGAGTTGAGGATGTTAGACGACTCTCTGTGTTTGACCATCGTTGTCTCCGAAGAATTGCTGACGTCCAGTGGCAATACCATGTCAGTAATGCAGAGGTTCGGCATCGTGTGTCCGGGCACAAAGATGATAATCCAATTGGTGTCACCATCTTGAAACACCGACTTCGGTGGCTTGGATATGTTCTACGAATGTCGTCCCAGAGAATCCCACGTCGTGCATTCTTTGCCGACTCTGGGACTGGTTTGAAGAAGCGGAGAGGTGGTCAGTGCATGAAATGGTGTCGTGGTATGAAAGAAAGCTGCAGAGGTCTGGTTTGTGTTGGTCCTTCACGACTCCGTGGTTGGGGTCCGAGAGATGGTGCAACACAGTGGCTAGACACGTTATCAGATATGGCTTAGAGTAGAAGCCAGTGGCGATCCTGCTGTAACCTTCTTTTACTTTCTTCATAAAAAGTGGTTGTATCTTACTTAGCTGAGAGATTTCTTGTTGTACCTTTCTGTTTCCCCCAAAATAATAATAATAATAATAATAATAATAATAACACTACCTTAAACTACTCTGGTCGTTATTTTTCTTTTACGCTCCTTACCTTCCTTTTTTCTCTTTCCATTCTCGTTGTCTTGTGTGGCGCATATATGTTTGGTGCCCTCTTGTACCAATATTTATATGTTCGAGTAAAGTAAATAAAATAAAAATACATTGGACTCAAGGCATGCATGGAGTTCTCCTTTGAAAAGTGGGAAAGTTGGTATAAGTATCTCTTCCAGTATCTTACAGATTATAACCATATTAACGTTTGGATTTGCTTTTGTGTGTGCTCTGCCCTGATGTAATGTCCTCTCTTAACCCTAGCAAGCAGGTGGATTTTCTCTGAATCATTTTAGCATCCCTTAAAGGTCAGACTTGTGGTGATAATTACCAGTGAACATTTGGCATGTAGTTAAATCCATAACTCTTCTCGTAACTATAACTCCAACATTAACCGGAAGTGTCTTTTCTGTTTTGTTAAACAGAGTGAATCATCCCTTGAAAGCCAGAAAAAAACATGACCTATTGTAATGGTAAGTGTGGAAACTGATGGAAGCTGCACCTGGCTAACCTACGACTAAGCAACTGGTTCCGAGCCATTTCTCTTAAGTGTCTGCAAGACCTTTTCGAATCACACCGATCAATATTAAGCATTTAAATCCAACAATTCCAAAACATCTCCCGGATTACCACATTTATTCATCAGTTTTGTTACTTGTAATAAAGAAAGACTAATACCAACTTACAAAATTATCCGTTAATTGATGGCATCCCAGTGAGTTTTTTTATCCAATCTCCTGATTTTTGGGAAGCCACAACAGAAATGAAACAAAAAACCCGAAGATGTAAGACTATAGTTGATGGACGAGTCAATCAGAGGCGTTTGAGGGATTTCAAGGTCACGGCGTCAACTTCGGTACTTAATGCTAACGTACTATCAGTTCACAAGGGATTTCATACAAAACGTGATAATTGAGTGGCTATAACAAATAAAAAGGCGAGACGTGAACCAATCAGGTATAAGATAACAGATCTCGGATTATGGCGCGAAAGTCTTTCATCCGTTTGGCTAAATAAAGTTCAAACTATTTGGATTGGCATTATAGCTGATATCAGTTCGTAATGAAAACCCTATATATAATTCCTAACTAAGACAACTTATGACAATTATTGCGAACTGGATAATAAAAGCACCAGTAACACTGGCTGCAGCCAGGTACGACAATATATGCGGATGTCTTCAGTCTTCAGTAATAAGGATAGTAGGTTGATGAACCTGTGTCAATCCTGACACATTGCTTTCCAGTGAAGGTCCAGCTTTTCCTTGAAAGTATTCACTGATGGGGCTGATACCACTTGTTCGGGTAAGGCGTTCCAATGATTGACTACTCGATGGGAAAAACGGGATCCCACTTTAAGTTTATTAGATCGTGGTTTATGAACCTTCTTGCTATGACCTCGGAGATTATTAGTGCTGGAGGGAGCAAAAAGATAAGACATATTAACACCCAAATCATAATTAAAGATACGAAATGCCAGTATAAGGTCACCTCGTGTCCTACAATACGACAAGGGGAAAAGATTTAGGCGCTTTAAGCGCTCATCGTAAGGAAGTCTAGAAAGACCCTTCACTAATTTCGTTCCCACACGCTGGACACGCTCAAGGGAGTTAGTATCCTTTACTAGACACGGGCTAGCTGCTTGGTTACAGTACTCTAAATGTGGTCTAACATATGTGGGATATAAAATTCGAAACGTTTCCTCGTCAAAAGATTTGAACGCTCGGCGAAGTGACCATAACGCACGAAAACCTTTGACAGCGGCTGCTTTGCAATGCGCAGTTGTTTTTAAGTCATGACTTAATATTACTCCTAAGTCCTTATGCTCTTGAACGCATGGAAGAGGTTTACCCTCAATAGTGTAACGCTAACTATTACCGTGACCGACGTGCATTAGTACACTCTTCCTAGCATTGATTTCTAAGCCCCACTCTCGAGCCCATCTAACTAAATCGTCTAAGTCAGCTTGAAGATCCACATGATCAGCCGCACTTTTTATTGTTCTCCAGATTTTTACATCATCTGCAAACAATAATGTTGACGACCTAAGTAACAGTGGTAACTAATTAACGTAGAGAAGGAAGAGCAGAGGGCCTAAGATGGTGCCTTGGGGTACACCACTTTTGACCGGCTTCCAATCGGATAGCGTTCCATTGACCCTAACTCTCTGTCTGCGGTCACATAAGAAATTTCCTATCCACTCATGTACAGTACCTATTATTCCGAAGCTCGTGAGCTTCTGCATAAGACCTACGTGTGAAACCTTGTCAAACGCTTTGCTAAAATCTATGAATATCACGTCGACAGACAGACCGTGATCTAGGGCTGCTGTCCAATCCTCCCTCGCAATAAGCAAGTTAGTCAAGCAAGAACGCTTGTTACGAAATCCGTGTTGCTCAGGAGCTAACAGATTGTGTGAATCTATGTTTCCTCAGTCACCTGTACAGATTCAATGGTTGGTATCTCGGTGTGAGTGGGACAAGTATTTGTTACAATAAACGTAGAGAAGACTTCGCTAAAATAATCTGAAAAAGTCTCAGCTTTTGCTCGATCTGATTCAGCTAGTAATTCTGAATTTTCGTGTAACAGCAACGGGGGAGTACCATCACTACGTTTCATTTGCCGAGCTTACAGACTCCTACAGAGGTTTGATTATGTGCATCGTATGGTTATCCACAGGTGGCATTTTGTGTATTCAACAACCGGAATGCACACAAACAATATTGAAGCTATGTAGTCGAGGCTGAAAGAGTTTTTGATGGAGTTTTGTTCTCTGAGCTGGATGGTTTTGTCATGGAGCTTTCATCGTTATTCTGAACACATCATCAGCACAAACTTCAGATAGAAGTGAAGTGTTCAAATTTCTCCATATGCGTTTCACAACTTGTTCTGTACACTTCGACGTTGATTAGTTCTTATTGACCTTAAATTTGTCATTGTTTACTTCTTTGTTTTGGTTGTGTCTCCCATTGGTTTGAATTTTTTCCCTATATTTGTGCATAATTTTCCTCATTGGCTAGTAAATTAGATTGATTTCAATATACTTGTTGATTGATCTGAGTCACAGGCTTCTAAAAATTCTCTGATATTTTTGGGATTTCCTCTGTTCAAGGTTTCCACATTTTCCAATCGAATGAGTGTCCAGGCTGAAAGAGTTCTTGAGACTTTATCATGGCTCCAGAGGTCGACTATTCTGTAGCCATATGGATGGTTTCATCTACTGCATGAATTACGATTTTAGAACCTCTTTCTAATCTTGACAAGTATTTGAACTATGTATATTTTTACTCTAAACTGGCTGTTTCCTAATTGGCCAGTATTTCTCAAGATCAATCAAGATTTGTTCAAAGGTTGTCCATAAATTAAAGTCTCGCTCCCGAAGATATCTCCAGACTTTAGAGGGGAAGAATATGAATTTTCATATGACTTTGGTAAAACCCCAAAATAGGGTAAGGTCTCAAGTTTTTATTTACTTCCAAGAGGAAATTCGAGACAATGGCCGTCGAAATGACATATCGACGGCCAGAAGATTTTCCAACAACGTTCTAGTGATTTTACCAATGACAGCATTTATACAAACATCATAGTATGATTCATTAAATTTGTTTCATTTCATTACTATATGACGCATCAACAAGATGATATCAGGTGTTAATAAAGGTATGATGGCGATCGACACTTCCCGGTTGCCCAGTGTCGAAAGATATCTCTTCTTGAGGGGCCTGGAAAAGAAGCTGAGTTAGTGGTGGTCTTAGCGACCTGTGAGCGTGACCGCAGAGTTCAGGGGAACAATGCTTGAGGCCGATTGCGTACTGCCTTATGGTTTTGCCGTCGGAGACGGAAATCCGTGGGTTAAGGTGTGACATTTTCCAACCTCTTCCTTCCATTGTGAGAAGGCACCATCTCTGCAGATGCTGGCTGTCCAAGGGAAACACTTTGCTGCTGTCACACCCATCTACATGCAGCAGTATGTCTTCGCCCTCGGATCTTAAGTTGCGGTTTTTAGTTTAACCGTTCTCCGGCCGGCCTGTCGGGTTAGTAGGACCTAAACAAACACGTGTTCCACCCAATATAGCCCAGTTGAGTCATCACGACAGGCAAGCCCGATTACCGTATCAAGGTAGCAGCTACGGTCGGGAATGGGGGGCCTGCTTACCATTCATAGCGTCTGTTTACTGTACGAATTGATGTTTCATGCCTCATGAACGATAATTGATTTGACTGTGCAAAGTATTATTGTTTCTTGGGGAACTTAATCCTTTTGGTTATTTTTTCACTAACTTTCAGCTTTACCTCAAAAGTGATAAAGTTCAGAAGCGAATGACTGAAAGCTCACATTCATGTACCGGTCACACAGTTTTTCACCAATCAACCCACCAAAATTTAAGTGAAATGGATTTTGAGAGAGGGATTTGGGGTGCTTCCACACGTGGTGATATTGATCGCGTTCGGAAATTGTTAGATAAACATATAAATGTTAATATACCAGACAGTTATGGGTACACAGCTCTGGTAAGTTAAAAGCGATATCTTATTTACTAGCATTATGCTGCTAGAAATAATCATATAGATATTTGTAATGTATTATTAGAAGCTGGGGCTGATATTTTCGCCAAGACAAGAAATGACGGGGCTACACCTGGACATCGAGCAGCGTATGCAGGACATCTTAATATTTTAAAACTGCTTGTCGGTAAAGGAGGAGCACCAGTTTTAGAATCTCGTGATAACTATGGTAGGAACTGCTTGCATCACGTAAGTAGCTATATCCTTTATTCAAGGTTTATTTCCTAAAGTGTTTTACATTTCAAACGTACTGTTAGAGCCGCTGAGTTATTTTTAGTGTTGCGATACCGATTTTCGTGTGAATTTTCTGGTCTTTGTTTAGTTATGTTTTTCACCTCTTGTTGTATATTGAATGTAGATGTTTAAAATAATAAGTGCTTGACCTAAGCTTAATTACGTTCAATAATTCACCTGTATCCTAGTACTTCCATCTGCTAAGATGATGATGTCATAAAATGTACTTCCCGAATCCGTGTTACTTAAGATCAAATATTAACACCATTATCAATCTTATTGTGTATTTTCCGCGGACTTGTTTATTTTATAGATATTTTCGTTTGCTTTCAGGCGTACCGGGGGAAACAGAAAAATACAATAGATTGGTTGTTGGAGAGCTATCCTAATCTATCTAGTACTAAAGACAACAATGGTCTTCTTCCTGACTCCGTTGGTCAATCAAACAATGAAGTTCACTGTCATGAATTAAATATATGGTCTGTGGTAGATAAATAACTCACATTGAGGCTTTTCTTTTATATCCAAACCTGATTTTGTGTATAACTAGGCCACTGTGTATATTCATCACATACTTTAAAACTGATGGTTGAGTAAGATCGGAGTTGGAAATAGCACTAGTTTACCACTTTTTGTTTAGATTGTTGCCGTAAATTCGTACTATTATCTAACAACTTAAAAGTCAGATTTCACAGAAAAGCGACAGAGCAATCTTCCAACGCTACACATTGCCTGTAATCATGCAAACGTAAATACACAATTAGTCTGTAGAGTTTGTTTCATGATTAAAGTATTACCTTGTGAATGGTATTTGTATTGCTACTTAATTACTAGATAGTAATGTATTTTTACGTATTCATGTTCCTTAGTAATACTTTAGCACAGAATATTTTAACATACAACACCTTCCCTCTAGTTCAGTACTGTGGATAATAAATCTAAGGCTATTTAGTTTATTTGTTACTGGCTGGTTACAAGATCTGAAGTTCTTTAGGATTTACGTTTCATTAGAAAAAGCGTCATGGTCGTCGCAGTTCTGTCCAGTCTACGAAATTATTTTTGGTTCCCTTGCTACGTGTGTCCATTCATTACTGGTACAGTCTAGTTAATCTACTTTGCAAGATCCATCGCTTTGTTAAGTAACGGTATTTATACGGTAAACAACAATGTTAAAGACACAGTATGTGTATTTATGTCTAAGTCACCAAAAACGGGTGTTTTGAGAAGTTAACAATAATTTTATCGTCTTTATTATTATTATTACCGAAAACACGTTATCAGACCTCATTAGTGCTTGCATAGTGTTGTCATGGGATGCGAAAATTCCTTTGGAGGACGGTGTTAAGTACAGAAAGATATCTAGCATTTTCAGATCGAACAAACTAAGTTCCCATAATATACGACAGAGTTGCCGTACGTCATGGCACTTTATTCCACCTTTTATAGTGTGGTATAAAAAATAACCAGGTCTCCATGACTTGGCGCCTGTCATAAAAAAATTAATGCTCGAACATATGAAATCCTCGACTATTTTTGGCGAACCACGTAAGGCTTCCAACATCGACTTTTCTGTCGTAGTAGTGTGGTGTGTGCTACTTATATTGACATAAGTAGTATGTGATGTTAGTCTTGAATAGGTCTGGCAGCAGAGAGACAAGAGGATTGAACAGTAAAGAATCGAAACAGAATGTAATTTGTATGAAAATGCAAGAACAATGAAGTATGAGTCATTTTGAGACAATTGGTGGACATTTTGCAAGTTAAACATTTACTTTATGATTGTTAGATTTTGTTAACAAGTCTTGTAATTTTGTGTTAAATACATTCGATTGTTCCCACTCGTGTTCTGTTCACTACATTAGTACTTTGCGTTGTGACAGTTCAAGCCAAGTCGTATGCGGACGCTGAGCACTTATTGACCAATTTTGATTTGTGACCTATGTGGTATTACGTAGTCAGACAAAAAAATCAATGCCGAAGTTTATATTTAGACAACACATTTGTGACACCACTGTATTCTTCCTCTAGAGTTGTCCCCAAAATATTATGTATGGGTAAGCCAAAGATTAATGGGGGGATTAGATTAACTCCTGCTGGTTAAATGCCATCACTATGCTCCATACATTTGCTACGAGGAACTTTCTGAATGCCAAAACACCAGACAAACCTTCCTCCAATATTCAGTCTGTGTGCGACTGATCAGGAACAACTCCAATATCAAATTACGGGACGCTAGCCGATCTGTAAGTCACCTGATAGCAACCAAGCAGGAAGTGAACATCTGGTCACTGCATCGATCACGTTTTTTTCGCATAATTAGCGCAATATGGTGGAAACTAATATTTCAGCTCAACTGGTAGCAGGATTAATGCCTTAGTGACTAAGATATCTTTTCAAAGGTGGTTACAAGATACCAACTTATCATTCTTTCAAAAGTCACAATGAACAGAGGGCGCTTCGAACAACGACCTTAGTTCTTTGAAGCACCAGTAGCCGTTGCGCTATTTTTCCATACTACCAGGTAAACAGGGAGGTATCCACTGATTTCTTTGCGGATATTAGTAACTCGAGATAGTAAATAAAATCACTTATGGAATTAGCAGAGGCGATATACAAAGGAACATAGTATCTGCAAAAATACTCTGAATATCACAAATCAGGCGATACGCTTTTGTTACAATACTAACTGAAAGTCACGGAGTGCTGTTATTACTTAACACCTCTTTAAATTTGTTATAACTTGTGCCCTATTAATACATAAAGTAGTGATGTAAATGGATATATAACAATTACAGAGAAATAATCATGATACATGATCTGTTTATTCAACGTAATAACTCAGCTGAGCGGTGAAGATACGGAAGTAAAGTAAACTGCATCAACAAAGATAAAGTCCAGATACCACGTTCAAACCCAAAAACGAATGCTCACAAGTTGTTTAGAACGCAGACGGTCTTCATACAATCTGATTAGTTTTAAAACTATTTCGTTGGTCGAAAAGGATTATATCGCTAAGCCAAACACTGTAACAATGAAATACATAGACTTGTTTTCCCATTTTACTGTACAACTCCCTGAAAAAAATACGAAATAGTGATGATTAGCATGAATGTTAATATTGGATACGTAGCAGATTATCATAAAACCGGTGGATCTTTGCGCTGAAAAATCCACGTCATACTTTGACTTAATTTGCAAATTTAATCTCTAAGCTTTGTTTAAACTTTTAGACGGAACTAAATTTAAGAATTTTGTCCGTGAATATACAGTCCAATAATGTCTTCCTATCTCGTACAACATAAGAAATACACTAGAATTCCCTGGCTGAATAATTTTGTAAGAACTTGTAGCATTAACGATAATGTTAGCTTAATGTTACAAATAAGCTTTCTATGAGGCTCCCAGATCAAGATTACAAATACAGTCGATACAGGAAAGGTGGCCAGTCCCAAGCCCTTTTAATTATCTTAAGAATTATCTGCCAACAGACTAGTAACAACTATCGCCTTTTGCATTGTTACTCTACTAAGTGCTTTCTTTGACTAACACCGACAAAAACCTATTTAATGGCTGCAACATTAGCTGGTAGATATAAACTGAATTGTGGTTAGTTAAGATGGAGTTTTGGCAAGGGGTTCTTGTTTTCGGAAAGTATCTACCCGTTTTATGACAATGAGTTTCTTCGTGATTGTGTCTGAATTTGGAAGGATTTGAGAGTGGTTATCCCATACATTATTTTCAGTCAAGGTTTACCTTGATGTCATTAGGAATCTCAGATAAAATGTTTTAAAAGAACCTTTCATAATATAATGTATAGCGATTTAGTTAAAAGTTGACATCAATTCTGTAAAACGAAGGCTCCGGATAACATGAAGTAGAGAGTAGTCACCAATGGTAATGAGTGGTCCGTAAATTTACTGAAGGACTGACTTTTAAAAATATAGGTAGAATTAAGTGTTAAAGAACTATTGCAACAAGATTCACTGGTCTAAATAACGTTGCTCTTGTGACCCGCATTTCGACATCCAGCTATTGTTGTCCAACCCTAAGATCAAATACAATTACAGTGAGCTGACCCAAGAGAGATTTGTCCACCACAAGGCACAATGATGAACATTTTCTGAAAAAGGACGTAAGTTGGCAGTATTGGCTTAAGAGATACACATGTATGCTGATCATATACTAATTAATATTATTTTTCATCTCGAATGAGTAATTCAAAAAACTTTCACATTGTGTGATAAATTTCTAATTTACCTTTCGGTTTTACATACATCTATCAAGATTACAAGTAACAAACGCATGCATATCTCTCAAGGTTAGGAGGAATAGGGTTCTATTTCCAGGCTATTCACCGTTACAGTTTTTAGATAGTAAATATCATTAAGTGTAATCTACGTGGACTTTAGCAAAGCACTCGACAAGATTCCGTGTGACAGGTTTTTACCAAACATAGAGAGCTGATACCTGCTTAAGTGCATCAAAGATTTTCTTATTGGTTGTCGTGAAAGTACTCATTAACTAACCTGTTTGAAACAAGTAATTAGTGGATTACCACAGGGCTCTGTACTAGGTCATATTTTGTTGATCTTTTATGTCGATGAACTTCCGTATATCACCGTATCTTTAATGCCACTTCCTTCTGATAACATCAAAACACAGCGACGTAGCACCAGATGAAGATGTAAGAATAGTCTAGACTAATTTCTACGTATTGTTAAAGTGTTCTGGGAGTGAACTGTTTATTTATTTGAACACAAATATCGGTACAAAGGGTCACCGAATACATATGCACCACACAAGTCACTTGACTTGTGCATGTGCTGTGATGCTGCCCGGGTGCCCAGACAGGAGCAGGTGGTTTTCTTGGTGCCACACCCTGAGCCTTCGAGGTAAAGGTCTAATCCACAAGGCAGTGGAGCAACGTGAGGAGATACGGTCCCATGGTGGCCAACATTTGGTCCATACACCACATGTTCCTTCAGGATCCCGAAGCGCACGTACACCATTGGTTTGAAAACAGGGTTTTCCAGCTCGTTTAGGTGGATCCTCCATATCCACTAACCCAGTTTTTCGCCCTCTCAATTTCGTAAACAACAATAGTGCAGCGAGAAGGCAGTGAGTTAGACTTACCTGTCATTGGCTGTATACACGTGGTCATATGAAAGCATTTCGAGAGGGGGAGCAGACTCCTCACCCTCGACCGTAACAGGGAGACAGTGAACACCTATCGATGCAAGTGTTTCAGTGTGAATCGGACACAAACAGCATCAACTAAAAAGTTGGCGATCCATCCTTAGGGTTTCTCTTAACTTGCAATGACTTAAAAACTACAGTAAGTCAAAACTGCGACTCACAGTTCAGTTTTAGCTAAAGGTTTTAGAACAGTGAAGGTTATACAGCTAACTCTCACGAGAATAGGAAGCGAAATCTCTAACATCATTTACACACTACCGATAGAATGCGACCTAAAAAGTGGATAAGCATTGTTTGGGAGA